AATATTATACATAAGAATATTAGGCAAATCATCGCTTTAGTCATTAATATTATACATAAGAATATAAGGCAAATCAAGATATCTTATTATGTTGTATTATTTTCTTTCAAATGCAAGTTTTTTGGTTTTGTTAAACTTCGTGGATGTTGGTGTCATTAAAAACTAATAAAGTTGATAGAAAATACATCTAAGTACCACAGGTGAATTTTTGCAACTTCAGCTCTTAATTTTTTTATGATAAAAAGTGATTGTATTCTTCAGTTGTTGTTGGTTTTCCATTAAGGTAATCTAAGTAGTCTCTCTTTTATTTTAGGTAATCTTAGAAAATAAACATTAAGTACCATTAGGCTAAGATAATGCGAAATTTAATATTTCAGTTAAAAAAACACAGTTCCACGTTGGATTAACGTTAAATTTATGTATTTGCAACCCTAAAATCCAGGGTTCGATTACCTGCAATAGACACAGCAGATGTGACTTTGTTCTAAAATAAATAACATAGAATTTAAAACATGTTCATACTGAAAAATATTTTGTAACAGAAGTGCAAACGTTAGCACAAGTTCACCGGAATATTTAAGATATTATATGTAATAAACTGCTGCGTAAAACACAGTTTTTGTTACAATCATCTATATAACTCTATCTTACCAAAAGTACAATTTTCAATCTATAAACATATTTGGTGAACCTCTTCTATCCACTTTGTCTGATATATGATTGAAACTGCAATTCTCAGTTAATTGTATAAATAACTTTATTCAGGAGAGGTGAGCTGGCATGTTTCTTATTTTCGTTGAATAACTAGGCTGAATAATTCACTTCAACTAAATATTCTCAACAGCTGAAGAGAATACTAAATTGTTCTCAACAGAAGATTGATATAGACTGAAAATATCTGGAACGTATCTGTGTAAATAAAGTAAGTAAGAGTTGTTTTCGTTTTGAGCCAGATAATGAAGTTATCTAAATATCAGAAAACGGATAAATTAAACTATTGTGTGTGTGTTAGAAATGAAATATAAACAACTAATTGTCCAATTTCATTTAACTGAAATTTTAGATATTCCGCTGTAGAATTTCATTTAATGATAGTAACTAATACAGAATAAGTTGAATATTTAATGTGTAAGAGAATTTTATTTATTTATTTCTACAAGGATTTGTGATAAATGAAAAGATAAATAGTATCAAATATTTTAATTTCATATCAGAAACTTGTTAGTACATAAAACCACAATTGTAACCAATTTTTCTTCTCAGCATTCTGTATACAAATTGCATTCGTGATGTAATATTTGTTTATGAAACCTCTTAATTGTAAATTGAGCCAATAATTCAGTTTTTTTGTTTGTAATTACGTCATAAGGAACTTAGGAAACTTTAAATATATGATAGTAAATATTAAATGATAAATATACAGATCTTTAGTGAATTCCTCCTTATCAAGAAAGCGTTACGAAAAAAGAAAAGTATGTTTAGCTAAAAGTGTTTACTATCATCATGCACGTTCTGTTGGTTTGATTAAACTACTGTATTTTATTAATACGTTTTTATTTTCTATTTGCAAAGATTTATCCAAAGAAAAACAGATGATGAAGCTGCAACTCCAATTTCTCTCTCTAGGAATGTTATTAAGACTATCAGTGCTCCTAACCTTAGCTACATCAACTAATGAAACTTTAAAGCATGTATGCCCTCAGATGTCACATATTCATCCTTGCGAGTGCTTGGAGATTCCTAACTTTAGCACTCAACGTAAAAACAGCAGCTTTCCTGAACTTGAAATTATTGCATTCTGTAAGAATATAAGTCACGAAGGTGTTCTCGAAAGTGCTTTAAGAGGTTTCCGAAATCACACAATTGACTATTTTGTTCTGGATAACTGTTTACTTCCTCCATTTCCCAACGGATTTTTCAAAAACGTCAATATTAAATGGATGGAAATATTGAGTTCAACCATACAGTTTAAACAAAATTTCCTTTCATGTGCTGAAAATTGTTTTTAATAGAGTCAGAAATTCCCTAAGATATGGAAAATATCTTAATAATATTAAGAGTATAAAATTGATAAACAATACCCAAAATATCAACATGTAGAAAAAACTGGAATTATCAAAGGTTCTGATGTAAATAAGAACTTCATATAAGTTAATGTTAGAGATTATTTATTCAAGAATGTAACTATTTTTATGTTAAAAAATGACATAAGTTTGTGAATCATTGCCACAAATAGCTTAAACGATCATTTAAGTTAATGTCGCAATTAGTTAATTTTTTTATTACAATATTTTGATTACTAGCTATTTTGTATCCTTCATTTCGGCTGCTAATTTGCTGTTATCTTTTAGGGAAGTCCCAATAAGGACCGTGTCTGCAGTGGTAATAGCCAGGATTCGAACCTGAATCTTCTTGAAATGGTAGTGTGCTATCCATCATCAGTGAGCTCTCTCATTAGAACTTCAAACAACTAACTATTTACATAGTTTTAAGATGGATACCGAGGTTTTGTTTACTGGTATACGAGACTGTCTGAATATGTTATTAGTTAGGTGGATGTAGAAGGATTTTTTAAAATAAATTTCACATAAAGAATCCATCAACCGATTTTCAAAACAAGAAACCTGCTGACACCATAGACATACCTAAATTCACAGTAACTTCAAGTAAACGACCATTAGCAGAACCCAAAGAAAGTGTGCTAAATAAGAGACTAAACTTCGCACTAATACATCACAAAATATCCATCTAGATATTGTCACAACCACAGAAGACACAACTTACAGTCTATCAAAAGAAGAAAAATAATAATTGTGAATCAGCGTAAGTCAGTAGTCCAGAAAGCCATGAACTGCAAATCCCACTATAATACTATCCTATCAAAAACACTGTCCTCATGAACTTAAAGAAAGACAATATCATAACAATTTTATCAGCAGACAAAGAATACGTTACTGTGATCACTGCCAAAGAGTACATCATAGCACCGACGTGGCATGGCCTAGTAGTTAAGGTGCTAGGCTCGCAATCGACGGGTCACGGGTTTGAATCCCCGGCAGCAAACACGCTCACCCCTTTAGGGTTGCTGTAAGGACCAGCCACTCGAGTGTAAAAATTCTTGGCTATTACAAAATACCCGAGCGGTCTGCCTCAAATCTAATCAAAATTAAGGTCGAATATTAAAGGATCACATAACATAGCTATTTCGTACCTAAAATTCAGAAGCAAGGCTGCTCTCTTCGTCCTATTTTTGACAGAAGAGATTTCTTTAGCTAGATATATTGTAGGTATTATATCACCCTTAACATGTAAAACCTTTTCATGTGTTAAGAACTCAGTTCACTTTTCAAAGATTATAAAAGTAACCCTAATAACCCCACAAAACACAACGATCAGCTTTGATGTATCCAACTATGTCATTTGCATATCAAACCTTGAAATGCCACAGACTACTCCGCAAAAAGCTTTAAAATGACAGAACTCTCAAGTAACACGCCCAGCTGACAATCTCCCCAATCACAGAACTCAGAATATTCTGTATCAACACAACTTACCTCCAACATGAAGATGAATACTACCAACAACAAGAAGGCATAACATAAGTTCACCCTGTTACTACTACTTAGAAACCTCTACATGGAAAATTACGAAGATAGACTCTCAAAACAGCTACTCAAAGACCCAGTATTTGACTAAGATATCTTAACAATACATTCGTAATATGGACATACACACTGCAGACAAGATTACAGAATCCATGAACCAACTGAACAGACAACATCGAGCTATATACCTCACCAGACATGACGACTACCAAAACATATAACACATATACCACGGGAGTTTACAGGAAACTACAAATACTGGTAAATACGTCCATCAAACCACTATAGAGTTCTTAGTTTCAAGTATGCCCAACACAAATGATCGCAGTTGGTACAACATTAGGCCACGTACAAACCTAATGGACACCAAAAACACCATTTACAACATCCCCTGTGATTGTGGACTCTAGTAAATTGGAGAAACAAAAACAACAGAAAGTAGAATTCAGGAGCATAACAAACATACTAGCCTATAATACCGATCTACCTGCTCTCATCATGCTAAATAAGAAAACTATACAATAAAATTGAATAACATTAGAATAATTTGACATGAACCATACTCTCACAAGAAAAAGAAAGTTAAAGAATCCTTCTACATCTACGTTGGTAATCATACACACGATCAACCTAGAACAAAAGTAAAAAATTCTGAATACTCTTCTTGCAAGCATTCAAAGAGTAAGTTGATTAAAGCCCTAACGAGTGGATAGTATATAACCTTTTTATCAAGAAGACACAGGATCGATTCCAGATTACTATCACCAGAGACACACCTTTTTTCCAGTACTTCCCTGAAGTTGGCAATAATATAGTTTGTAATGAAAATCTAGCAATAAAAAATTGATAATTACACGACTTAAGCAGTCGTATACGATACTAATTATGGTAATTATTTCTATCCGATCGCCACAACGTTTCCGTAAGTACAATATCTTTGAGTTTTCTATTAAAATCCATTTAATCTCTATTTAGTTTTCCAAGAGGATCATACAAACTAATTGTAATATTAACTATATTTGTTGTTTCGCAAGTTGATGTAAATTTTACTATGTTGCTAATGGTGATTAAGAAGTGAGAAAATATTAATGCTATTGTGTTTGTTTCTTAAATTATATTTAAGATTACGAATGAATAAATTTTCACTTTTTTTTTTGACGTGGAAAAGAAAATAGTAGACACGACGCGTAAACTCTTTTTTTTTTCAAAGTAATATTTCTTTGAGTTAAATCGTCAAATTAAGGAAAATTATCCATGTAAAATTGAGTGAAAACGCAATTACGTGACTTGCTCGACGCTAATTTAGGTATAAGATATTTTGGTTGTAAACCAAGGCACAAAATAACTATTGGCAATACTAGCAATATGAGCTAAAATTTAACACTGTGGAGATAGTCCTGAAAAGGGCAGGAACTTTCTTACTAAGAGGCAAAAGATCATGATATAAAGATGAGCTAAATTTATTTTAAAAGACACAGGGCTTGAGGCGATTTCAGAAGACCCCAAATGTTAATATCATAAATCTAGAGTTAATATTCTATATATAAAATATTTCTTATGTCCATTACTTCTGGTTTTTGAAAGGTGTAACATTCGCTGCCTTCAGAACAAATATTTACACTTGTATAACATCATTAATAATGTAAACAATATTTTGACATTAAGTCTAAAGCAATTTGTTACTACCAATTTCCTATAGTACAAAATGATTTAAACCCTAAATGAAGAACATGATTAAATACAGTATTTTTCTTTTAATTTGATGAATAATCATAATCAATAATAACTTAAAAACAGAATGGATAAAACGCAACCATTATTACTAACTCCTGAGCAGAGTGGTTGAATTTAAGATATGGATAATCAAATTTTTAATGACAATGAATCAGCAGACTTGTACAAAGTACCAGTAATAAAACTGAAAAAAAATATATAATATTACGTTTGGCATGGAGAAGTGCTATGACTAGATTTCTGTATGGTATTTACTGCCATACATTAAACCTGTCTATATTGGTTGTTGATATCTGGGGAATTATCAGAAGAATACTTCAAAGTTTTTATACGAATGTATGACTAACGAATTGTAGATCCTGTGCAGTCACTCTCACAGAGAGCACCACTCGAAGTTTGAAAATTCTGTCATTGAACCAATACAAATATTGAAACAAACGTAAGACTTGAAAAAAAAACATAATTGCGAAAATATCTGTTGAAAACACACTTATTTCGTTAACATATTCCTCAACTGAATTCTATACATGCAAATAATCGGTAGAATTAATATAAAAGGATATTTGGGAACGTTAAGTCTGTAGAATAGTTTATTCAAATACCTTTGTAGCACTATTCATAAGCAGCATTGAGAAACAATTATTTTGAAGAAAGTCTTAAGTTCATAAGCTCTTTATTAAAACCATATAAATTATTGAGAAGTTTATAAGCTCGATGTACAAAAATGGTGATCATGTTCTTGAAAGTGAATGATACGGAAATGCTAAACATAAAATTTCTCTTAAAGTCGAAGGTTGAAAATCAAACCTTTTTTTTTTCTCTCTGTAAACTACTTTTACCCTTATTATTCAGAAATACAATTATGTAACTAATTGGCTTATGATCAAGCGTTTCAGAATTAGAAATAAATGGTCTGATTAGATACTTCGGCCTGTGAATTTTATGTAAATCATGAAATGTCTTGTCATAACAACTGATTCCGTTCGAAACACCAGAAAGTTCTACAATTACGTTTAAGTACAGATTCTTTAAAAACTGCTTATTTGAAGTAAAATTGAAATTTTTACGTTTCTTTTTGTATTTTATGTGAAAATACGCGTGAAATTAATTGAAAAAAGAATAAATGGGAAAAGTTGCAAGAGTTGGTGGAAACTACGAAGATAATTATTTTAAATAGACCAAACGTTTCATTCTTAGTTTTAAAAAACAAACAAACACAGATGCTGCAGCAAACATTCTTTTTAATTTAACTCAACATTTGAAACTAAACTTTTGAAAAAAACATTTATGATAAGTAGTTTTGAAATAAACAATGTTATATTTCACGTAGTTGTAATACTTCTAAAGACCCATGAGTGAAAGCAAAGTAGAACATGTTACAACATACCAACCACGTAATACAGAAATAAGAATATTTATTCAAGATCACGCATGAGTATGAGAATCCTTGTTCAGCATGATTACAAGATACTGGTTGAAAGGTTCTGTACCATTGTATTCTGTGCACAAATACTGAAATCTGTTAGACACATTTACTGCTGAGAATTCTTTATGAATATTTCATCACAAAACATAATACAAATATAATATAAAAATCGAATAATATCTTATTTTTAACTACTTTTAAGGCCACCTATTAAGTGAGACGTAAATTTTAGCTCTTTCTTTATGACTTAAATATTCACCTAATGTTTTATGTTGAATACTCTGGTTATTATACCCAGAAATAATTATACAACAATCACCGAGTGAATTACCTTTTGAACTGAAAAATATAAAATATTCCGTTAAGCATGGGGAAGTGTTGTTACTAGAATTATTTAGGGTATTTACTGTGTCATATTGTAAAATCCTCTGTTCATTACGGGAAACGCGAAATAGAATGCAAGTCTCTGGTCTAGATATTTAGAGGTAATTTTTTGTCACCTCGCAGTTAATCTAAACCGAAACAAGTGGTATTTTGGCTGTTAGGGGGATAATTAACATTGCTTGGCAAAATGTGATTGTTTGTATTATAGATAAGTCATTCATCTGTTATGGATGGAGAATACTTTTTTAAAGTTGTAATGCGTAACAAATGACTGGAGTCATAAAAGTATTAGGATAGCATATCTTTAAGCTTCTTAAATATGAAAAAAAGGAAATGTGATATTAGTATATAATGGAATGTTTATTAGGATAATGTCGTAATGCAATTTTATTTTATGTAAACAAGCATGTGAGAGGATTAAACAGTCTATTCATGTTTTCAGTAGTTGTAAGTGAAAACAGTGATTTGGTGAAAATAGCTGGTTCGTTTATTCTCTAGTAGTCAAAAGTAAATTTGGACTCAAATCTGTCAGTTGGTAATCTAATCCTCCTTTATATGAAAACTGAAAAAAGGCATGAATAAAGTGGTAACTTCTCAAACATAAGAGCAAACCAAATTATCTTTAATTAGTATTTTTTATTGGTTGGCTGTGATGTCAACATCAAAATCTACAACTTTTCTGGTCTTCTCGTTTCGTACAAACATAAAACTAACACTTGAAATGTATTAGTGCACTTTAATCAATGTGACATCAACCAATATTCATTAAAACCCTGGAAGTTTCGTAGTAGAATACATTACATCTTCTGATACTACTTTAATAAACGAACATTAGTTTATGAGCCAAAAACCACTTAGCACAGCGTTTCCCAAAGTGTGGGGCCAAAAATCAGGATAGAGTCAATAGTGCAATAATACAAAATTAAACGTTTTAATGAAAATAATAAGTAATTACTACAACACATACAACATTTTAATGTGTATCCGTGTGTTACATCTCGTTATTTAACTCACTCTTTCACTCATTAAAAGAGGGGGACACGCAAGAAACCACATTTATTCAAGGGGGCGTGGATGACAAAAGTTTTATAAACGCTGACTTATCACATAAATTATTTCGATACCCGTGGTGGGCAGAGCACAGATAGCCCATTGTGTAGCTTTGTGCTTAACTTCAAACAAACAAACACTTCTTGCTTTTGAAGTTCATATGTCACGCTGTGTTGTAGCCTATAGAGTGCATAATCATTCTCGTGATTCATGTCATGCGCACTTTTTACTGAAGTCACGATAGTACAAACTGCAACGTTAAGCAACCGTTATGTGACATCATTTTAGTGTATACTGGCTAACAGACAACACACTACTGTGTTGTGGCGCGAGAGGTTAAAACAGGTGACCCCTTCAGGCGACCTTCAGTCCCCTTTCGTGGAAATAATTGTCTTTTCATGTGTAATTTTAAATCTGAGTATTATTTTTTAAAGGCATTAAGTTCCTGTACGCGGCCCGTTACACAAGAAGTACTTTTTTTTTACCACCGATGAGACACAATGATAAAGCATACGACCATCTGATTTAGTTCCCTGACTATTACACGCAAGAGGGTGCATGAATAGCAGGATTGCATTAAAATAAAAGTTCTGTAGAAAAAGAAAGCTAATTTTGCTGGTTCAAAAGCATATGTGTAAACGTTTATAAATATATTATCAAGTTTTGCTGCATTTAAAACTAGACAAAAACAACAGTCTAACATTTTATATGAATACAAGTTTGTATTTCAGTGTTCCCCACTAGGCGGCCTACGGGCCATATCAGGCCCTCGAAAGCCTGATTTGTGACTCTCACTATAATCAGATATTGCTAAAGTAAATAAACTGTATTTGGGGAATAATTTATTCTCCAACACGCTCAGACTGGCCTTTGGCCTTTTTAGGCATCATCTGAAGTGGACCAGTGGGTAAAATAATTAGGGATCACTGATATACATATTCTAAAGAACGATTTAAGGGCATCATGAATTAATTGTTGTGTATTTCGTTCAATTTAGTACAAAGAATAATGTAATGAGATTATCATATTTCCACATGTAAAAATTGGCGCTCGCCGAGTATGCATGGATAATTTTCATTAAATTCAATAAGAGTTGTGAATTTGAGTCCTGATTAATTTTTGAATTGGTTTAATTTTTTGTTAACTTGAAGACTTGATGAGAGTTTAATGTCATCAATTGGCTACTCTGCATCAGAGTGATTAGACCATCGTGATTATCATATATCTGCTCTTCCTTCTGCCCCTCAGTGGCTCAGCAATATGTAACTTATAACGCTAAAAATCGGTTTTCGATAAACATTGTGTAGTTTTGTGCTTAACTACAAACAAACTCTCCCTTTTTCTTTCGAAAGTTATTAATAAAAACTAAAACCTAATCCCAAGAGGTTAACTTTACTAGCTGTCTATAATTTTGAACTGATAGAATAAGTGGTGGCAGCTAGTCAACAGTACCCACAACCAACTCTTGGGCTATACTCTAACCCAATAGTTAAATTTGACCGTCACTATTACAACACAACCCTGGCCCAGGCGTATAAAGCATGTTTTTGTGGCAACAAGATGAAAACCTTGGACCTTTATTCACCATTGCAGCATTAATTATTGATTCACACCACTGGACAAAGATTGTCCTTTATAAATACAAACTTATTGTAATGTAATAAATAGCTTAAAAAAACAAACTTTTTGATATTTGATGCATCCTATCGTTTTTTATTTGTATTATACACCTACTTCCCATTCTTTTACCTAGGAAAATGCCAGTCTAAACATTAGTCTTTAACGTTACGATCTATCTACTAGTTAGTTGTCTGAATATAAATATTGTTATTCACAACACATTTGATTTAAAAACATGCTGTTTGAGTTAAATAGATCACAATAAACAGTAAGACTCACAGAGGAATTGACCAAATGAAATCAGAAAGTTTGAAACAAGATATGTTTATTTGACATCATGTTTAGCCAAGAAAGTTTCTGGGAGTAATTTTCTTATACAGACTGCTCTTCAAATAAAGAGAAACAAAACAAAAATTCTGATACAATAAGAGCAGCTGCCTTTGTCACAATAAAGAAGTAACTTAGCTTGACAATTAAAATAGTTTACACTCTTTGCAACAGCCCTTCTTATCTGTAATTACATCTTCTTGTTACAATATTTAAGAGCACAGCTCTTTTGTCAAACTTAAAAAACACTAACTACAAACCTATTCTTACAATTAATATTTTCTAATTGTAAATTTCATACTTTAAAATGGTCTACAACCCACAGGAAAGACATAAACACTGATCATTTTAAAGGGTATTAGGGGAGATGTGAGCTACATTTTTTTTCTTTATGAAAAATGTATTTACAGTATGCTGTGTAATTGAACATAAAAGAAACATTCATATAATATTAATCAAACCATAAAAACAGAAAAGAATAACCACCTAACATTATTTCACCATTTTACTTAAAAACATATTGTGAACTTTTCCACTTATTATCAAAGCCTTACCATCAAAGTCTAAGTATAATATAACCATTTTTTTAACACTTTAGAGAATTAATTATTACTCCCTTTATTTCCTCTCTCAAAATAGTACCAAAATATTTTTTTTTATAGAAATCTACCATACAAATATTTTTATCGATGCCTTCTTTAATATTTATGTTAAAGAACGTATTGGAAAGTAATTTTATATGAAAGTTTTTTTGAAATACCTTTATTACCACTAAACGTAGAACGTACTTGAGAGTGTACATATAAATGCCAACTTATAATCTAAAGATGTGATTGGAAAGTTGGTACCATGATCAGTTTATCAAACATTTCACAACACACTTGTTGATTGGTTTCAATGCAAGTTTAGGAAAACTGTCAGCGTTCCAATAAATCAAATCGTTTTCTAATTTTATTTTGAAAATCAAATATATCTCAAGACAGCAACTACAACACTAGTCAACTTAAATCATTCACATCTATTTTTAGTCAGAGTTACTGCTATTTGTACAATCCATATACCATATTTATATTTAAAAAGTAACAGAGGAAGAAGTGTTGAAATTTGTGTGAGTAGAATTTCCTTAACAAATATATCTTGTTAACAGGGTGTTAGCTACTAGTGATAGTACAGTTTTATGATAATATTTCTTAAATTTTTGATGAATTTTCTAAAGTTATACTGATATTGTAATTTTTATCAAACATTTCATAACTGTTGTAGTCATAATATTAATAAAAGATTTTGGGATTGAAAGCAAAGAGAAAATATAGACAGTAAACTGCTTTAGAAAACAGGTTAAGTTCATGGTTATACTCCACAAAATAACCTGTTTATTTGATTTTGTACTAATTAATCTTATACCAATACATCAAAATTTTGTACAATGCAGATAGCTGAAACACAATGATGAAAATAAAAGATAAAGTAGTATTAAAACAAATAAGTAATATATTTTAAACATTTTCTTTATCCTATTCTAAATCATTGTAAAAACTAGAAAAGGAGTTATCTTCTTTCTAAACAGATAACTTCAAATACATTACATTTCTGTAATGATAAACTTTTCTTTTTTGTACAGTAATCATAGTGAATATTTTATATAACTGAGACTATAGCATGAAACTTGTTTTTCAACTAGTAAATAAGTGAAAAAGTTATATATTGCAAACAATTCATTGGTTTAAACTATTTCATACGAAAGAAGTCAAGAATGAATATCAAGATTTCATTTTCATTAGAACCAGTAGTTTATTTTGACTTGGTATTTTACCTCACGAAAATGCTTGATTTGAACGGACTTATTTTATTATCATTAGAATAAAAATTTGGATTGTTAACATGCAGGTGAAGTAATTAGTTTCAATACATTGCTTTGTTATGAATCTATACCATAGGGCTCTGTTTAGGTGAAACAGTTTAATTTTTGTTTCATTTCAATTACACATCTTAATGAAAAATTTACTTGTATCTATATTCAATGAAACATTGTATTATTATATTTTTTTCAATTAACACACTGCAATTGAAATAAACAGTTTTCTATCTGTTATTATATTTTTTTCAATCAACACACTGCAATTGAAATAAACAGTTTTCTATCTGTTTTAATAGTTACTTCAGTTTAGTCAAACACATTACTTCATCACGAGTACTTGTACAAACCATTAAAAAAATTTTATTCCATAATAAAAATATGTCTCAAATTTCTAGTATAAAGATATAACTGACAGCTAAAAAATTTAAGTAAACTGATCAGAGAAATGCTGCAAAAAATTGCTCTGAGCTATTTCATTGAGAAACTAAAAAATAATCACAAATATTTTAATTTAAATCAGAGCTAAACTGATAATTGTTAATGACATTTTCAAGGTATTTTTTTACAATAAAGAAAGCCAGCTACACCACAGGTATTCAGACAACAAACAACAACAACAACACTACTTTCAATTATTTACTCCAAGCTCTTTAATTAAAGTTTCTATTGAAAAAAGAATCAACAAATGGGCGTAAAATGATGTAGCTAAGGGCTTGATAAAAATATTTATACAGCTCTAGATAATCGTATTAATAAGATTAGCTTAGAGTATGTTATCATTTAATAGAGGTTATAAAATTTACATTTGCTTTTTAATTAGTCCAAGTCAAGTTAGCATTACACTGCTTCCAATAGTTCTAATGGTAGTTACCAACTTTATTTTGTTCATTAATTACCTTTATATATACATCTGTAAATGCTTTAATATGGATGAAACTAACTGTTTAATGCAATTTTTGTGTTCAACATCTCTAAATATTATCTAGATACTGACAACTAATGAATATAGTACAACTAGTATCTTTGTATTACTGTTTATATAAAAGACAGTGGCTGGTTCAACCTTTTGGCCAAAATAAAACAAACACTTTATATACAATTTGCTAAACTAATACATCGACAGAATAAAAGCTGTTTTTTAGAACAATGCAGAAGGTAAACAATATTCAAAAGAATGAAAACTTTTATGCTACAGAAATTTAATTCTTTGACAGATGATTTATTTCTATGGTTTAAATATTTTACATGGTGGAGACATGTGCACGAAATCAGAAACATAAAGAAAACATGCCTATACAAATATCTTTGATTTTAGGCTCTACTGTCATTTTAACCTACAAAAATGCAAGACAAATTAGCAACACAAATATTACACAAAAGACATGTAAAATGTTGTGACAAAAATTGTTTAACTTGATTTACTTTCTTACAAGGAAGAAAAGAACAAGACTGTACGGCATGAGCTAAAATAAAGAGCATGGCACATTAAAAAAATATTATACTTCACCACATAGCATGTAAAAGATAAAAGTTTCATCTGCAACAGAAGACCATGCTCATCAACAGTAACAGATTTTTTTAGATATATTCGAAGTTTGCACTGTCCATTTAAGTAAGGATTCCTAATGTTTCTCAACGTTTAGGTAACTATAAAGTTCACACTTCATCATCATTAGTATATAGTAATCAAAAAACAATGTCAAGTTTGAATAACTTTGATTAAAATTTACAATACCTGATTTATAAACATTCACTAAATTCAATCAAACCTATATAGGTGAAGAAATAATTAGCTCATATTTCAATCAGGATAATTAACATAAATTTACAAGAAAACAGATGGCAAATCACATGACAGTATTCTTTTATGACACATACCTTGTTTACTAAAAGAATAGAACCATAATTACACATTACACAGTAGTATAGAAGTAGAAAAGCCAGGTGGTGAATGACCTAAGTGGGTGGCTCAAGATTGTATTGTAACAAGATTATTGGGATCAGTTACTTCTCTTCCAAATAATAAATCAAAGTTTACTGTAAATATTTTAAGAAGAGCAAAACTCTGCAAACTTTACTCTAAATCTATCTTCAAAAAGAGAAACATAACAAGGAAAAATCAAATCTATAACATTATGGTATAAAATATGATAATCAGGAGAATATACAAACCTCAACAGAGGAATAAAGTTAATGCAATCACACATGAATGGGTGAGGTGTCATTTTCTCGTATTTCATTTAAACCTAAAACATATAGTTTGTGCTCTAAAACATGCAACTTCTCCTGTTTTGCCTTAGTACAAACAATCACCAATCTAGCTGCTTTAGCTATTTGCCTTATGGAACCAGAAGAAGACTTAAGACTCACACTAATGAATTGACATTTCTATGCTGAATATGTAAAAATAATTCTACCTCAAGTGGACACGTTTCATCTAATGACAACAACTATACAAGGCAAAACCACAGCCACCTCACAAGCATAGGCACTGTTAGGATATTAAGATGAACATGAATGACACTTGATGGGATGATGGACAGAATGGTGCAGTGCTCCAAGTCAACTCTCAGTCTTTCACTAGTCGATATATGTGATGCTGAGCACCATGTTCACTTGTGGACACTTCAAAAACATAAGCAATACACAGTAGAGTTTCTTGTGTTTCTCTATTAGTCACCACCTGTTAGCATTGCAACAATAAAAACTTTTATTACTAAAACAATTTCTCTTAATGCTTCCAAATCAAGTTTCAGGAAAAAATATAAAGTAATATTACCCATTTTAAATTAAGAATAAATGCATGAAATAACTTTGATATTAGGAAATGGTGAATTCTGTAATAGAGTGAATTTGTAGTTAATGATAACAAAATATACACCATGAAGTACAACAATTAATTGTTAATTATATAAAATGGATCTTTAATAAAAGCAAAATTAAAACATATAAGCACAATTGGGATAAGTAGCTTGTTCAAATTTTAATTATTATTCATAATTAACAAGTTTGAAATTAAATACGATCTAATATTTGCTTAAAATAAACTACAATTAACATCAATAATATTAAAAAAGCTCAATTAACTGAACTCTGGTCATGCTTACTTTTTTATAAAGATATCTTTATTAATTTTAATCACAAAGTAATACATCTGGAAAATAACTTACTTCATAAGAAATAACTTCATCTGCAAGCAATGTGTGCTCACACTTCTTTAGACTATAATTATTGTAAAAATATATATGAAGCTTAAAAAGTTTTTCAGGTATTTTAAATTAACTTTGTGTTTTCAGAGACCTTTAAGCTACTACACTAACATCAATAAACTAGGACCTGATTTCAAACATTTTTACTAATTTGAAGAAAGATGACATTTTTAGGTTGTGATATTTACCAAAAGTACATGTAGTTAAGACTTATATTATGCATGGTGCATTCTTTGTTAATTGTTAAAACAAAGTTTAAAATAGTTAAAAAATAATGATACATGATTATTTAGTTTGACAACTGTCATTTAAGTAATATGAAATTTGATTAGATACAAGCACCTTGTTCTTGCTATACATATGAATACATATAGTTGTGTATAATTATAAGAACTTAGTAAAGTAGAATGTAATAATGTGTCAACCACACTATATCTGGTGTCACAATGAGACCTTTCACCCAGTCACATGCCTCATCAGGCTGGCTAAGACATGACATTGTAGTGGTTTAGGTGATATTTATATTATCAATTGCTTGAACAACAAATTACAGTTCACCAACGTAATCCGGTTCATGCCAAATGTTTTAGCATGAACTGGATTACATTGGTGAACTGTAATTTTTATCATTTTATTTAAGTCATTACACATCAAAATTATGTTTGTCATAAGTTCTTATAATTACTATTGTTTTGAACAACTCGACTTTCAAGATCTACATGTACCGATGTTTCCGTTTATCAACGTTATATCTTAAGATCTGTGCTAGAACTCAGCTAACAGATGTTTCCGCAGATAAAAGCTATCTTCAAGTTTTGTACACCAAAAAACTTTTCAGCTACTATTGTTGTCATCTCCCATTGACACTTGACCCACTCCAGGGTCAAAAATACTAGCTTACTGGTTCACTAGTTCTGAATAAGCACAATTACTTGGAACAAATGAATAAATAAATAATATTAATAATAAATAATTTAGTGTTCAAATTAAATATTTTGATGTAAAAAATAATGAGTGAAAGTACAGAAGATTATGTTATAATATGTCATATAAAAGCTAGTTTCTTCATTAAGTCAGACTTAAAACTAATAAAAGAATAAGAAATAAATTGCTGTTTTTTAAGAAACATGGAAAGAGTGACTACATTTCTTGAATATTTCTCATCCAGTTTGGTACCTATCCAACTACCAAAAAAAAAGCTGAGGCAACAAAAAATACTGAATTAGTAAATTAAATCAATATTTTAGCTAAGTTTGAATACTACCAAAAGACAGAAGAAAAGAGACAACAGAAATGATAGAACTGATATTTTTTCTTTTAAAAGAAGTTTAAAACATATATCAACCACACTGCACTGTTAATAAGATAATAGAGACAATAAAAACTGCCATATTTTGGGAGGTATGTGGAAACTGTATAACTGAAGACATTTAACTAACAGATCAACATAATATAATAGCAGCCTTGAAAGTTAAACTTTCAGCTACCAAAGTTTAGAATTACTTAACATAAGCAATAAGGTTGTAGTGTTAATACTGCTTAATAAGAATTATTACTTTTTTTAGGTATCTGTAAGTACTTTTACTGAATAAACCATCAAAATAAGTTTTATATCAATGTTCTAAACCAAAGAACAGAGATGAGATAAACTGTTGTGACTGCAAAATTAATAACTGTTTTTACAGATGGATTTTTTTAAAAGATACTTTAATACTTTTAATAGGATGTTAAAATATGTGTGTTCTTACCTGAAACTACTCCACAAATTGGTTAATCTCAAAAATTAAACAATTTTCGGAACACTAAGTTTGTTTACTGTATGGAGCTATTGTGCAGCTATATAATGTGAAGAACTGAATAGTAGCCAATGACACTTTTTCTTCACTTCACCTATCCAGTGTATAGGTTTTTCTCATAGTGATTATAAAGCACATTCACACCAAAAGTATGTTCTTACCTGAAGGATTGTGAAATTCTCTAGAACACTGTTCATCATATACTTCTCTGGAAGATGTTTCAGTTTATGAATGAAATTGATCATGTATTCACACATTGGTGACCTTTGTATTCTATACACAAAACGTCCATTCTCAAACCTAGCATATTCAGTCTGTTCCAGAAGGAAAATAATTTCATTATACATTATAAACAGGTAACGAAACATACACACTATACTTAATGCAGATTACAAAGGTAAACTCTTAATTATCAAAAGACTGGTAGAATTTTAAATGAAACTTGCACAATTGCTATCAAGCATGAATAACTGATGAAATAAGTAGTTTCTACTTAATAAACTTTCACAAAACCATTAACTTTGTATATTATACATGAAGTATACAAACATATTTAATATCCTGTTAATTTCTTCTGCATCAATATTCATTTGTCAAACTTTGAAAACAAACAAACAAAACAAAACATGGACACTTTACATTTCATCAGTAAATTAACAAACTTTATACAAAAAAACAACAACTTTATATACTTCCAAATAATCTACCATAAATTTTGATGATGACAACAAATCTCACAAATTTATGAAGTTATTGCACTTATCAGGTTAAGATTGATCTCAAAATATTTCTTAAATATGTCCTAAATCAAATTGACTAATAAACATAAATTTAGGATCTAATGATATAATATTCCTCATTCTAAACACTAAACACAATAACTAATATGAAATTTTCATGTTTATGTAGACAATACAGATTTGGTATTTTTAACAATTCTTTATGAGTTTTGTCAATACATTAAAAATTAACAACTTGCACAAAATTTGTTTATTTATTTGTTTCATATATTTGATTAAAATTAAACAAAAGACAATCTGCATTAGCTATACTAATTTTGAGCTTATAGACTAACAGGAAAGTAGTTAGTCAACAACACACATGACTTGGGCTACTTTATTTAAAGAGTAGGATGTGATCACAACTTTTATAATGAATCAACAACATCAAAGTGTAGAATGCAATTTTGTAGCATTAGGATGAGAGCCATGGATGTTTAGATGCACAATGCTAACCACATGGCCATGCCCAGCCCATTACACAAAATACAAGTACAGAAAAATATTCAGAAATAATGCTCACTCAAGTAACTGATGATGTCTAATATTGTGCAATTTCAATGTTCATAAACTGTGCAATACTGAGAATTCCATAGATGTGTAGTAGAGCCATGTAGGAACAACAACTGTGTTTATGGGTATAAAAGGGCAATAGCCTCTCCTCTCCCAAGAAGATTAGAAGAACCTGACAAAGTACCAGTTTTACACTTTTACTGTAAAACTACAAGGCCATGTATTATTGCATTTTCACTTTAGAAAAATCCAAGAGCATTTGGACCTTCCTAAGAATTGCCCCCCAAAATTAAATCTTATATGATGTTGCTGTAGTCACATCAGATTTTTTCACAGTTAAGCCTTTCTTAGTCAAACAATGTTTGATAATTTAATTTATTAGATGCTTGCTCTACTTCTTCTCTTCATAATACAAAGATTAACAAACCATCTACTTATATGTATCAAATCTCATGACAGAAAAAAAAAAGCTGTTTAGTATTATGTGTGAAAAAAAAGATGCAACTTTGTATAAAAATAGGAAATTTTCTTGCAAATGGCATACCTCAACTTTTTCAACCACTTGCTTTCCAAAAGAACAAACCTTTGTGGAACATGTTATTGTCATATTTTCACTGCTCTCATACCTTTAAGAAAAATAAATAAAGTTCATAGGTTAAAAAACTTTATATTAGAAACCCTAATTTTAAGAATCTTTCAGTGCAACACTAAAAACAATTTTCATCTGTTCCAAAACTTTACAAATGGATGAAGTAGAAAAAAAAACACCCACTGTTATGAGTTTCAAGGACGATAAATGGTTAGACCATTATCAACAGCTTGGCATTCACCTGCTGAACAAATGATTTTCAAGGAAAGAAATATTTACATTGCAGTTATCAAGAAAACATTACAGTATTTTCTCTTTAGGTTACATTGGTTTTTATTAAATGGTGTTAATCCTGAATGCCAATTTTCAGTTAATTTTTAGAAAACCATAATAACTTAATACCTCACCCAGTAAAGAATACTTGCACACAATTTGTCTGATTTCTTTCTCCATAAAAAACACATTTTATACTAACCACATGATGGTTGACTTATAAAAGTGAAGTCATCCCCCTTCTTTACCCTAGTTTCTGACTTATGCTCATTGGAAATTCTATAATGGATAAGTTCATTTTGAAAGAATGACCAATAAAAACCTTTTAGACGATGACTCCAGTTTCATATTTGTCATCTTTAAAGTCTTTATGGAAGTCTGTTTGAGATTTATCACCAAGCAATGCTTCTTTCGAGTATTTTTGTAACTAATCTAAAGTTCTTTTAGTCTGTAGTAGATGGCAGAACCATCCAGGCTTGTTCAATAGTTTTCAAGTCAGAGGCCAGTGGTCCTAAAAACTTAAATGTTTAAAATTTAATACTAAAAGGTTAGTTTAGAAACATTTTTACAATAAAAAATTATTATGTGTTTAAAATGTATTGTTTAATTGTTATTGATGGTGGGAAAGGCCCATTTTGAAGGTGCCATAATCAGTCAGTCAGTGTAGTTACCCCTGATCTGCTTGGCTCCATGGAGACCATTTACAGAATATGCCCACTCAGACATAATTGAGTGGCTCAAGGGCAAGGAATATTTTTAGTGTAACAACTAAAAATGTTGTTCTTTTTTACAATGTTGTAGTGGTGGTAGGAATGTTGAGTGATTGTTCTTCCATACATTTTTCTAGTTTTCACTTAAAAAATCTAACAATTGTTCAGGGAAGTATTAAGAAAAATATATATATCTATAGTGTGTATGTTCATAAAAACTAAGCAAGTTAACAATGTATTTCATAGCATTACTATTTTGCATTATGATGTTATCCTGGCTTGAGTTTATTTATTTATTTGAACAAACCTATATAAGCCATGGTAATTTTTGTTCTAATAATTATGGATGTTGCTAATATGTCTACAAGAGCTACAAAATAAATGAAAATATCACAAGGATTAATAAAATACTTATTAATGTCAGTGAAGCTTATAACAAATTTGCAGTTTAATTGCATACAGATGTTTTGTTAACTGTTGAGCTATATAACTTTAACAGATTGTTAGTACAAGAAATTATGTTTTAAGTAACAGTAATGTATTATTGTGAACAAAACTGTGGTACTAGAATTTCTTACATTGAGATTTGGGTTTTCATTATATCCTAATGCAGGGAATAGTGTTATTTCTATTAATCTCAACCCCCAAATTACTAATTTGTTTGTATACCATTTACTATCAGCGCAGTCCACATACTGCATCATAGCAGATAATTTTTTGTCCGTTACAGCACTCAGTATAAAGAACTAACAAAACAAATTGATTGAAATCACATCTTGCTGAATTTATAATTATAATTATATTATATTCTATGAACAAGATCTAAGAGAAACTCACTGGCTTGTAACTCCATAGAAAGCTCCTGCTTCGTCTTGAATGCTGGTGTTAAGGTCAGCCTACAGGAGATGAGTTCATTGAATTATTATTTTTTTACTATTACTTGTATTAAATCTTAATATATATATATACTACTTACTTAAACATATTAGGAAAATGATCAAAATTTTTTTGGTTTTGCAGAATAGTTGTAGATCAATTTTATTTACATAAAAACAATACTGTCTTTCATATACATAATAATATTGAAAGTTATATGGATTATGTAAAATTCACTTTATACACCAGGACAAAGAACCTTCTTCGTACTTCTAATTGAGTTCACAATAATAAATAAAAAAAAAGTAGCTGTCAGTTGCAAGAAAACCTTTAGTCTTAACTGATTAATATGTAGATACTACTTTTTCTGAAAACAAAGATTTTTAAATTTAGAATTTCAGTTACCATCTATTACATAAAGACAATATTGTATGACAACAGTAGTGAAAAAAGAAAAAATATTTTGAAGAAACATTATTTCAATAAAACAAGATAAACTATTATAAAATTTCTATATTTCAATGGTAATTAAGTAAAGTATGGATTTTTTATATATTCATAACCTAAATATTTAGTAGTAAAGTAGTGAAGAGTTGTTTTTATTAGAACAATACTGAAAAACAGGTTATTCAGTGTAGCTTTAATGACATGATCATACTAACATCTTAGCTGAATGCTTTTGCAGTATTACAATAGAAATAGTACAACTGAACAGGTGCATTTTAGTAAGTGTATTAGCATGGTCAAAAGAAGTATTAGAATTTTAAGTACTTTTGTAATACAGCTATTCTTACTTATAATTACCTTTAAAACTGATTACTTATATTTTTGTCTTTATTTTCATTACTAAACATTTCAAATTATCATTAATGTGACCTATTTTTAGCTTATTTACTTTGATTAGTACAAAATCATTAAATTAACTTTAGCATCTGTATAAATACATTCACAAATGCATTCTTCATGACAAAATAATATAATCAAGACACAATGTAATGTGTTTTGCAGCCAAAACAACCTGCAGGACACACTGTGTGCTACTACCAGGAGTGATAGTTATGAATTTTCCACTTTATGTAGCTCAAACTGTGGTAATCTAAATTATCATATATTTTCAATCAATGTGCTCTACTGGACTCTTACTTCACATACCAAATTTCAAGGCAATCTATTAAGAAATACACAAGATATAAAATCTCCAATTTTGATTGAATTTCTTTCTATTTTTTTTCTTTGAACTGAAAGTATGAAAACTTTATTTGATAGAAAAGCATACTTAACTTTCATAGATATTTTTTTCAAATTTGGTACACTGGTAGATCTTTACAACCTACAATTAGGTGTCAAATTTGGTCTAAATATAAGCCACATGTGGTAAGTTATTCAACAAAAACTGCTCAAATTTGACCAAAATGTTTATGCATACCTATGCAAAAAGTCACGCGAGCTATAAATCTGAACTTTTTACTACAGCTTCACCTAAGAGTAAAAGTGACCTGGTTTTAGTTTTTTGTCCTTCGGGTTAAAGAAGGCTGATTTACAGCAGAAAAACAATAAGGTGAAAACACGTGCAGATACATAAGTATTGGTTAGCCCAAGCAAACTAGATTAGCAGTTTCTAGCTCAAGTTTTCAAAAGAATCATACGGGTGGATGGTTATTATTCATTGCCAATTTTAAACACAAATTTGCTAAATTATATGAAATTCTTATACTTAAAGAGTATTTAGTATCACATAATATTAGCTTAAGCAATTGTACCGAGTTGTGACAAGGAACTGTTAATCTAGTTTCCATTGTGTTCCTATAAAGGAAATTATTAACACTGTTTTAGAAAGGAAAAACCATTCTCATATATTTTGAGGAATCTGGTTGATTCTGTAAAGTATAGGTCTGTTCCAAATAATAGGGTTGCAATCCTAAAGCTAATGTTGGTTACTATTGAGTGTCACTTTCTTACTTACTATAGTTTGTTGGTGTGTATTGACTTTCTTACTCGCCATGATTTGTTGGTGTGTATTGACAAAAAGTCATGATATCTAATCAAAAACACCTTAGGTGTGAAAAAAAGCTGTGGCCAAAAAAAGATTGAGCCTGCAACTTAAAGGAATGAAATCAAAATTGGTGGCCAAAATGGTAGCTACATTTATAGTGTTGATAAGAATTTTACAGCAAATATTCATTCATTAGTTAGCTGGACCGTGTTTTTTCGTTCAACTTGGGGCATGATGATGGGTAACATAAAATATGCGGCCTAGCTAACTAATGTATGAATATTTGCTGTAAAATTCTTAATGCTATAAGTGTAACTACCAGTTTGGCTGCCAATTTTGATTTCATTTCTTTTAGTCGCATACTCAATCCTTTTTTGGCTGCACCTTTTTTTTTTCACACCTTAGGTATTTTTGATTAGATTATTAATGCCAGGAGCTATTTTCCACACATTCAAGTGTGTTCTTTTAAAGACCATTACAATTTCAATTACATTACTTACACAGTCATTAAAACTTAAATCTAGTTATACATGCAAGTCTATAAACTTTCATTACACTAGATTGACTATTTTCACTGGTATGATAAGAAATTTTATTACAATAAGGCCAGTTTAAATAATATGATTAACATAATATTTTCTATTGTTCTATATTTAATTCTTTGTTAGTACAATTACAAGCTAATGTACAGTTGCAGTAAAATGTGTATAAGCATAATGAGTTGATATAATTTAATTTCTTTTCATTAATTACAATCATTTAAGAATGTTGATCACTGTCGCTTTTTAACATTTTAACTAGTACACTTCTAATATTTTAATTTTCAGAAATAGAACTACAGGACTGCTTCAAGCTCAGTCACATTTGTTAACCAGCTTTAGCCCGATAGACTGAATAATCATTCACATAAAGTTCATAACCATTAAAGTTCTATTACAGTGCTAAACGTGAAGAAACAGATTTTAGATTTTCAGAATTATCATAAATGCCAAATACTCATGTGTATTAATAGTTCCTCTTTCAATGGATTAGTTTAACATTGTTGATATGCATATTTACCATATTTACTAGTTTAATCCGTATGCATGAAAACTGTGAAGTTAATATGGCAACTCATTCAAAAATTAACAAGAGAAAAAGGTAATACAAAATCATGGAACTGATAATAAGGATTTACCAAATACTGATAGGGCTGTAATTTCTCCTACATCATCATGAAGGTTATCTGTCTCAAAGGATGACTAAGATTATTTGTTTTTTTTTCTTCAGAATTTTAAAGAAGTTAGAAATTTTAAAAATTGACTTTGAAGATAAAATTTACATGAAATGTAAAGTGGAATTACTTGAAATAACACGTGAATTGACTGGGCAGCCAAGTCAAAATAATAAAGTCAATGTATGAAAAAATTAATTAATTAACAATCAAGTTCAGTTAGTTTTTGAGATTCTGTTCTTGATATTCATAGAAGACTTAAATGATTTTTAAGGAATATATTTAACCCTACTTACCCAGAATTTTACAAGAAAAAAAGCATTTTGAGGACCTTTGTCATACAATTCCTTAAGACCACCCTTTTTCTCTGGGAACTTGTCATAAATTTGTCTGATATCAACTGCCTATAAAGAATTACAACAGTAGTACTAAATTAAGCAAATTTATTGTAAAAAAAATCAGTAAGGTAATTTCAAAAACCTGGTTCACCAAAAATACTAGCAGATCTTCTGACCTGTCATATACTTCTAAGACTTTAAGCATTTACTTATATGTAATTATGACATCTTCATACTTCACAAGTTTTTCTCAAGAAATGTTATTTTATCATTTTCTCTAAAATAACTTTTACAATTTGAATAATATTCTACTACTAAAGAAGATTACTACATATGGGTTACACCTCAGCACCAATTTGCAAAGAAAAAATTAGTTTTTGAGAGTTTGAAGCTGTACCCGCACATACAAACAGAGTATATACAACAGCAATAAAAGTTAACATTTTCTTCAACTGAAAATGTATTTTTGATAGATACTTACCTCCACTCACAAAAAGCTTTCTCAATTTATACTGCCCTCTGTTGGCACAACCTTTAGCTCACGTATGTTAACATGATTCAGCAGAAAATGAAGTAAAGCTCAACGAACAGCAAGAAATTCCAAGAGACTGATATGGGGAGAGGACTTGGAAAGAGTCCAATGTCCTTACAACTTCCTGAGTGTCGAAATATGCCCCCCAACACGGAAAGAGAAGCATCCATAAAAAGGTATTGTCCTGATCCAACCACCAGGCAAAATCTGTCTGTAAGGAAGGGGTACGGGTGAGAGGTGCAACTAAGAGATCCCAAACAAGGGTCCAATGGTCTATAAAAATCAACTGAAGATGGCACATGTGGGCTTGACCAAGAGGAATGAGTACTTTTAGAGAAGCCTATATACCCAAAAGAGGGAGAACCTATCAAACAGTAGGAATAGGAGAGGATGAGATGCTGCATATGAGATGTTCCATAGCTCTCAACCGAAGTGGAGAAAGTTGAACCCGACTGTGGAGGGAGTTTAAAAACATACTGAGATGAACCAAATATTGTGTGGGAGTGAGGAAAGACTTTTCCACTTTGACAAGTCAACCCACTCTGGCAACTTAATGGAGAAGATACTGAGTATGCAGGACTCAGTTGTCTTGTGATGAGACAAGAAACAGCCAGTCATCCATATAATGGTGTACACTAAAGCCTCTGGTAAGAAGCAGGTGGACAAAAGCCCAGACCACTTGACAGAACACATATGGAGCCAAGGCAAATCCACTGGGAAGTGCCCAAAATTGAAACACACTTCCATGATGATCAAAGAGAAGATACTGTCTGGATGCATCTGACATATCGACCTTCATCATCCACAAACCTGTAGTGAAAACTCAACAAAGAGCTAAGTACGACTCCATGATGAACTTAGGATTGACAAGGAAGTGGTTCAGTACAACAAATTGATGACCAGGTGCCATTCCCCCATGTTTTTTGGGAACAACAACAGATGAGAAAGATCTCCTCTTTCAATGGCACCCTCGTTAAGTATGTTCCAAACCACCTCCAAAAGATGCTAGCAAGAAATGGGATACTGAGGAGGAGGGAAGGAAATGGGAGTGAAAGACAAAGGGGAGAGGAATGGAAGTGGAGGACCATACCTTCAGAGACGATGTTCAGAACTCATGGATCTACTGCAAAGGACCTCGAAACATGGGCAAAGTGAAGGAGTCTGGCCCTGACCTGAGAACATACTCACCGATGCTGGATGTCCTGAGAAAAGAACCCCTGTCCATATATCTATGGCAAACAACAGACACCTGAGTAGCTGGGAACCAGTAAGGGATTGGAAGTGGGGGGGGGGGGAGAACAGGTTGATGGGACAAACAAGAAGCCAAGAATGAGAGGGAGATATGCAGATGGGCTGACTCAACCTTCGACTCAAACGAGTCAGAGATACCCTCAAACACCTCTCGTTGCAAAAAGAGGTGGCCTGCTGCAAGTGAAATGTAAGCTTTTGGTAATGCCAGATTTAGATTTTCCTGTACATCTTTTCATGTTGTCAGATACTAGAAAATTATCTTAAAGCATGTTGGATAAAATAACATGTTGCAACAAATTGAAAGCACAAAATCAAAATTTAATCTTCAGAAACACAGACACTTACTTCTAGTATTGGATCAGAATAACCTGGTAAACCTCCTATGTGAACAAAAAGATGTTTATGGTACTGAAATAAAGAGAGAAAAATAATATCAAAAATCAGTTTACAACACAAGAGACATTTGTTAATTTTGAATATGATACAAGTTTAATAGTACTGCCTTTCTCTTGTAAATGATGTTTTAATTTCTACTCAAATCTCACAATACAAATCGTTTTATAATGTTCTCAGATCACATACATGGACTAGCCAGTGCCATAAGTTTCTATGTTTCTAAGTCCCTTAATACATATTTTAACACTGTATCACTTTTTGAGAATATAACCAACAGAGTATGTACTAATATAATAATACATTATTATAATACATCTTGCAATGAATTTACTGATTTACCCATGTGATAAATGAAAAATAAATGTTTTATAACTCCATGCAATAAATAGACAGATGTGGAGAAGAGAGAGTGTATTTGCTGAGATAATTACCAATTAAAATACATTTTATAAACTAAACTACTTATCTAAATATGGTCTAACCTATATTATGTACTAGAATATCATGCCAACTAGGCTTAGGTCATCACAATTTCAAAAAAACACAACAAAAATTTCCTGAAAGCAACCCCAAAACGGTGTGTGTGTCTAGTGTAGTTATGCAAAAGATACAACAAGAAATACAAACAGCACACACACAGCTGCAGATGCCTGACTCAACAAACATGCTAAAGTAGCTGTAAAGCATAATATTTCAGTCATTTGCAGATTTAAAAGACCATATTTAAAACATACAACCAATTTTAAATTTTTGTAATAAAGCACAAAATGAACACAACAAACTTAGTATCACTAATATAAAACTAAAGTACTATTTCATCAAAATAATTGACATCTGATTAAAAGCATCATTTATGGCCAAAAGCACTTTCACTGATACATGTCACATAACAAATAAAAAGTTTAAATAGGCAAAAATATTCAACTTATCATAATAAAAATTTATAGATTTCAATTTGCAGGATTTATACATGAATCATTTAATCATTTCTCAATAATTAGTTCAATATATTTTCAGTAAGTCTATTTCAAAGCCAAAGTGTTCACTTTGGTCTTTTTTTAGAACTGCTTGTGCTTGTCCAGTGACAACTTACATAAAACCTTACTATTGAATAACAAGTTTATTACTTTCAGATATTCTAACTACATATGCTAATTTAAATACAATTATTTAAATATAATAAAACTAATCTTATGATGTTTAAATAATTAGTAAAAATGGAAAACAAATATTGCTGGAATCATTGTTGAAGTTTGAAAATATTCTGGGTTTTTCATTAAATAATTTGTTTCCAAGTGTTATAATAACAAGAATAATTTTATGAAGTTTCTTAGCACCTCAATCCTCTTTAGTTAAATTAATGTTTCAAAATATGTTTATCATTAAAATGTTTTAGTTCCAATATTAGCAACCTTTGAAACAGTTAAACAGTAGTTTGGTGATTTCTTTGTCTTTAGGCAAAGGAAATAATAATAATAGCTAGTATTATGTACTTACGGAGTCTTGGTCTCGTTGCTGTTCCATAAAAGCAGAAAATTCTACTAAACGAAGTTTATGAGTGGCAATAGAACGGCCTTCCCATGGAGATAGAGTGTTTGGGGTTAACATGTCTGTCCCCACAACCCCTGTTGAGATTGTTGGTTTGGTAGCTATGCCATATGGTTGAGCAGCAAATGGTTTAACACTGCAAAATATTTTTAATGTATGATTTGGAAAATATTCATAAAGGACAAAATATGTAGTTTTAACATGTACTAAATAAAACTGTAAACATACATTACACATTCTCACAAAAGTGTTTAAACATGCTAGTGGTATAGAAAGGAATTGCAAAATGGGGGTGCTTGACTTGACATGCAGATTTTACAATGAGAGATTGAAAGTATAAGGAGGTGCAAAAAGCAGCTCCCATGCTAACAAAGGCAGCTCAATCTAGTAGGAGAGCATGCTCCCCAGAAAATTTATATAATAATATAACTTACAGTTGCTATATAAGTCAATAAGCCACAGCACCCCCAGTTCTAACCCCTCTGCATGCTTATTTGGTTTAATAATTTGTTTTCAGTTTTAATATCACTCACAAACGTTTTTAAAGTTTATTTCCTTCTCATTAGTACAGATTCCAAAGGATCATTTTCCAATCAAAATCATGTATGTTTTCTATTGATACGTAGAAGGGGAGCTATGACTAAGTAATTTTAATGCTGCAATAACATAAAAAGCTTTTAGAGTACTTTCTGAGTTTTATTTATACTATACAACTACAAATGTTTATCTTATGCTAGAAGTCTTTTTTTTTTATAATTTTAATCTAAGTATATTATAAAATTCATTGAATACTTACTCTTCTGAGGTTCCTGGTTGACCAATTGCTGATGGCCAAAACTATGTAACAAAATAAATAAAATAAGTTAAGAAACTTAACATGAAAAAATTGTAGAAACTCCTATGAGTAAGAAAACTAAATTATTATGTGGTGTTTTGTCTGTCTACTAATGTGGTTTAAAACCTACTAACCTTCTTGATAAGCAATTTTTATAATATGAAACATAACATAACCTGTCAATCTGAAACTGACAACACAACAATACCTGACAATCTCATGCCTACAACTCACTGACTACTCTCAAACTGACAACATAAAATATCTGACAATCCCATACCTACAGCACACTCTGACTACTCCCAAGCTGTCAACATAATAATACCTTACAATCTCATGCCTACAGGTATTCATTGATGCCAGGACAAGTTTTACAGTGGGGTGCTAAAAACCATTGAACAAAACTGTAACCACTGTATATGATGGAAAATATCTTAATAAATACATGCTTTAACCACAGTCCTGCCTACAATTTTTACAACAGGCTTACCATAAAATGTTGAAAGCAAATAATTCAAAAAATAAATCAGGCTACTCAACACTACAAGCTTTTATAACTTTAATGCTAGAAACAAACTTTTTTGTGAAGAAGCTGATGGCATGTTTTTTCAAAGAAAACTAGCAGTAAGTAACATACAATGTTACTATAAGACAAACAAAAAGTAACAAATTTGTACACAAAAAAAACTCAGTTTCCACACATACAGATTTGCATATCATAAACAAATATGTAATGTAAAATACAAACTGTAAATCAACATTACTCTTCTGACCACCACCCATACTTCAAACCAGGGTGCACACCCCCAGTACCCCTAGATCCTACATCCTGCAAGTTCCAGTCAGAACAGGTTTTTGAAAATTGTAATTTCTTAAATTGGCTATCTTACCTGAATAAGTTACAAATTCTTAGTTAATATGGTGATATAAATAAATAACTTATTATTATTTTTAGGTTGAGTAGGAACAGCAAGTAATACTTATAAAACATTTACATAGGTAGTTAAATGAAAATTAAAAAATATTTTTGTGTTATCAACTGTAGTTGGTTTATGGAACAAATATTTATTATCAAAGTACTTACAGCTGCTCCTGGATAACTAACTGGAGGACCCACGAGGGAAAGAGCCTTATTCTGGATGGCAGAAGCAGAAACAATTTGGGCAGATGATAGCGATGTCAGTGATTGGAGGGCTTTCTCTTTAGAAGCATGATCCTGAGAGTGAAACAAAGACACAATCTGAGCAGAAGACATGGATGACATCGACTGCAATGCCACCTCCTTGGAAGTATGGTCCTGAGTGGGAGAGAGAAAACCATCGCACCAACCAATGGTTATAAATCCTATGACTTTATCACCAATCAAAGCAAAGGAAGGATGGAAGGAAAAACAAGGGCATGGTGAACTGATCTTGTTATTTTCACATGTTAAATAAGTCTCATTAACTCACAATAATTTAAGAATTTTTCACTGGTGGAGTACAATCAGAATCCACTACAAAGGTTTAAATGATGCTGATTTATTGGTACTGTAGCACTGATTGTTAGCCATAAATGTAAGAAGTTTTGTGAATTGCTGGTGGGTCCAAGAGTGGATTTAGTGGGGGATGGAGCTTCTTCCCTCCCTCCAAACAGAAACTATTTTGTTTTGTTTTTTCTAAGTAAATATTGCAAGACTTCTTTACTTTTTTTACTAAAAGTATGTGTAAAATTGGAACAAAACAAACTATAAGGATTTAGGCTTTGTTGCTATATATATATATATATATATATATATTCATATCAATCATATTTATATTACAGTGTACAAACAGATTGATATACAGTGTAAATACTGTAAAACAATGCAATTTATAGCACAGGTCTTGCCTTGTTAAGTTTTTTTCTTTAAAAAAGCAGAAAATCCCAACTTGTGAATGCAATACATGCATATTAATATTTATATTGTTATTATGTTCCATGATTAATTCTGCAGTCTGAAAATAATCTTTGTAATTAATTGAGGTAAAATATCCTAAAATGGTACAGATGAGAGTTTCATGAAAAACTAAATTTCCACTTCATCATTATATTAAAAACTTAAAGCCGTTTTGAAGCCTTGGTTATTGGGAGGCCCCATCAGCAGACCTTAAGTTACCTATGGGGTTTTTGGCCCCCAACTATTTTACTATTTATAGTGCATACACGGGAAAAAAGATAATTCAAGTCCATAGATCTAAAATATTTTATGTTATGTCCAAGAAAACAGTAAAATATAACAATAGCTTGAAAGTAAACATCAAGACTAAATAAAATATATGTCATTTAAAACCTCTTGCTCAAACTCGCACATAATTTTACATGATGGCTCTAGATGTCTGCATCTTGCATGAAACATAAACCAAAGATGTTAATCTTCTCTAAGTTGTACATCTGTATTGAAAAGTGTTAAAAAAAGTCCTGCAATGATTGTGGATGTTACAGTAATGTATAGAACCCAAAGACATATGTACTATCTATGCAACTAGAGAATATTTCAAAGTCTTAGTAAGGGTATTATGCTTGGAATCTTTTCAGTACTCAACAAGTAATTGAACAGTATTAACCAATTTTCTAAGGTTCACTCAAATATGTTTTGTGTACTCTTAATAATGAACCTTTTGTAATATATCTTTATTGCATTTGGGGAAGGAATGTATCTATTTGTGTCTGCTTGTTTACCTATCTATATACACAGATATCTTGCAGTTGTTAAAAGCATTCAAAATACTTTCTGTAATGATAGTAAGGACCTCACAACCTAATTTTATGTTCCTTATTGAATAGAAAGCCATTTGACAGACAAATGTCACTGATAAAACTTCCAAACCACAAACTCATAAACAATCACTACATTTAATTCAGGTCATTAAAAGAGTTTCAATAACTTAATCTGTGAACAAATGTACTTGTCTCCAGTGTTTCTAGTAGGTAATAAACACATCTTCAAAAACATATCCAACAAAAACCTTCAACCAATCAATATTATAAACCACTAACTCTAGCAAACAATTCAATAAGTTAACACCAAAAAGTTTCATTCTGTGAAAACAAATCTGCATTTGTGGTTTTCATTAGTTTTCAACAGCTTACAAGTTATGTAAAAGGACATGCAACAATTTCCTTGCAGAACCCTAAGAGTAGTCCCCCAGTGGCACAGCTGTATGTCTGTAGACTAACAACGCTAAAAACCGGGTTTTCATACCCATGGTGGGCAGAGCACAGATAGCCCATTGTTTAGCTTTGTGCTTAACTTCAAATAAACAAAAACCTGCAAGTAACATTTTCAGTTCTGAACACTGGTCACTTGTAGCCACTATCCGTATTTTAACAAAATATGCTAATTATATGGTTATTTATTAACATTTTCAACAAAAAGCTGTAATATTTTAATTTGAAAAACAACATTTTATGAAGTGTTTTAATATAACCCATCTGTTTTCTTTGAAATATCTTCATTCAAATAAATTCAAAGCTTACAAAGTATATAGGAAGAATGGGGGGGGGGGAGAACTTCTATATAAATCATAATGGGGTTATTCAATTCAGATGTTGAAGAATGTTATTTGATTGATTTTCACATATTATTCCAACATTACTTAGAATTACTAGATTCCTTTCTATAACATTTCCCCTTCTTAAAATTATGGACAATCATAATATAAACAGATGGAGAATTCTATCAGGTACCTATTAAACTAATTACTTATCTTAAGTCTTTCAAGTTGGGGGGATTTACTTTCTACAATATTTTTTCATGCTCTTTGTGTCAGTTTTAATGTTAAACAAATCAATAATTTTTACATAAAAACTACTGCCATTTAATTTTTAGGCTGGTACATAAAATATAGTTTTAGTTACATGTCTGCAATATTTGCCTTTCTAATGAGTGACATGAGTATGTTAATAAAATAGGTGATTACTCATTTGAAAATAACACAAAATTTGCTATGAACGATGAACAATTTTTTTGTTATTGTTAATGAAACTCAAAGGTAAGCTTGCTAACAGTAACACTTGCATTAGGATAAATTTGCTTAGGTTAGGCATTCTGAAGATACTGACATTCAGTTAACCAGGAAAAGATTGAAAAACATTTTACAATCATCATGCTCCACTGACTAGACTGATAGTGCACTAATCCCATGTTAGTTATGCTAGAAAAGGTTTTCTCTCTCTCAATTCAGGCCTAGAAAAAGTTAGTTACCAAGAGTTGATTTTCCTTGTAAGAGCTAAGCAGTTAAAAAAAATATATATTAAAAAGTTCATTTTATTCAGGTAGAAAAATAAACTTTATACACAGATATTATTTACTATACAATCTGCACTTACGTATTGAAATATGTATATATATATTTATAAGTAAGTATGCAAACTGGCAGTAATAAATTAATTCATGCTTAAATACAACAAAATATAAAGAAACTTTTACGAAACATACAGCATTTGTTTACCTTAGAAGCCAAAGTTATTATAAATAAAACATTCCGAGAAATATGTGAAAAATATAATGGACACCAGCTGGCAGGTAGAAATAAGAAATTGTATTTATCTATTTCTTAACTATATATTTTATGAAGAAGTTATGTAGATCTCACTAGATGTCACAACTATACTTGCCTTCAGTTTAGTTTGAATTTCGCGGGATTTCCGTCGGGCCAACACTTGAATGTGACTAGAAACTTGCTTTCTTGTTCTTGTCTTGCCAGTCCGGAGTTTTATATACCTTGCAATGAGTTCATTTCGACCTGCAAGAAAAACATATAAGAACACATATTCGTGAATAATGAATACTGCAAATACTCAACTTCACAAGATTAAACTACTTCAAGCGAATTATATATTAATCAAAATGTTCAAAATCTATTGTTGTTAAACATTAAGTATCGATAAAACGAAAAAACCTTAGACTGTACTCGCTACTATACATAAGCATAACTTTAGCTTTTCACGCTTCTGAATGTTGTGGAAGTATGCTCAAATACAACGTAAAATGTATAATCTGAAGTTTATCAAAGTCATGTTTTTTATTTTGTGGGGTACAAACCAACGAGTACTTTTATGTTAAGATATCACAGTAAGTATGAAACTGCAAATTAATTTTGCTTTTCAAACAAATAAGACTTCAAGAAAAACTGTATAGAACACCAACTGAAATATTAAATACACTTTAATCCAGCCTTTGCCTAAAGGATTGATTGCTTCCATCAAAGGCACCAGTTCAAATGTGTATAAAGAGTTCTTGAATAATTAACACTAATTCAAAATATTTTGTCTATATTATACATTGACAGGCGTTGCATATATTTATCGGTGCTCTTTACATCAAGCAACTATTATAGAACAGGCCTTCGTTTCAAGGGGGCGGGGGAGAGAACAAAGATAATTCAAAGTAAATAAGTATGACAGGGTAAACAGGAGTAATATACTAGACACAGCTATGAGTCATCCTTGCCTTCGAGTGCATTTAAAGTAAAGAGAATTCTAGGTATAACGAGCGACATTAATCATTATTTTACCGCGACCTTTCACTTATCTGCTACATCTTGTCAAGCTTGTTGCTTACATTGGCAAGTAGCCAAAAACTGCAATACTTCTATGTTCTGACACTCCTAAATTAATCAAATGTGATTTTATTTAATACTTATTTTATTTAATAGGTGTTATTATATACATATAACTAAAACACATTTCTCAATCTTTTACCAAAAGTACAGGTTTGTCAGGCAAGTATTTTGCGTGGAACCGACTTAATCTTTATGGTTAAAAATGTAGAGTTGGCTTCTACCATGAAGCTTCATGACATGCCACACATTATTCACTAATCATGAAAACCACAATTCATAAATTACTTCAAATATGACTTAATAGTTTTATTTCAATTGTATAAAAACGCTAAGATGTTGGGTTTTATATCAAGCTTAACCCTAGAATTAATGATGGGGTTCAGATTTTTAAATGTATTTCCTAAACTATTTATGCACCAAAGTTGCTTGTGGGTCTATGTCTTTGTTGGTTATATGGTCCTTATTAACATGAGTCATATACAAAAAACTAAACTAAGCAAAAATATGTCAATATTACAATTAATCCCATTAATTACTGCTGGGTTCCCATTGAATTTTTTTATAGGAAATTAATTAATTCGCGCCCCCCTCCCTCCTTATGTTAGTCCTATACCGAATATTAGTAGCTCTTAATCAGTTAGCAAGGGGTTGTTAATCGTAATCACTGACTTCGTTGTGCTGAATAAGAGCTGATATTGCACAGAATTACAGGCCTCGGCTAGCGATGGTATGTTTTATATATTCAAGTGCTTATTGAACATTTGGCTGGCGGGTTTTCAGTTCACTAACGCTACGTAAGAGCCAAGATTTCCTTTCATCTCTCGGAACGTTAAAATAGCTCTTTGTTAACGATACATAAAAAAGTCTGAAAGTTTTTTCATTACACAAAAATTAGTAAGAAGCTTGTTAAAAATTTTCTTGATCACACATAAAAGACAGTTCAAAGTCTTATATTAGCCAAATAGAAAAGTAATAAGTTTTTTTATGTTTTTCTGACCAACCAGTCTTTTTATATCTTAAAATATTAAAAACAGCACGTTTTTATAGTAATAGAACAAAACAACAGTTTCTTCCCAAGCAGATCGAACTATATATTATTACGACATCAAGGTCACGTGTTTAGTATCACACCACGTCATTCTCGAATCTTCGTGAATTATCGGTAGACGACTAGATTGGGGTAGTCTGGTATATATAAGATGGTC